TTTTGAAATCCGAAATCTGTTTATCAATTTCACGCTGCTCGGCGGGGGGAACGCCGCGGCGGGAGCGTAATGAATTGGAAGTTGATGTGTCAGCACTATCCTTATCTTCAGCGCAGATGTTTTTATTTTATTTGGCTTATAATTCCTTACCAAATGTAGTATTTCATCTCGATATGCTTCGTCTTTGATATGATTTAAAACAAGTTCCTCGTCATTATAATTCGCTTCCGATAGCAAAGAAAAGTGACAGAGGTTATTGAAAACGAAAAAATTTCGATTGACAAATTAGTCGGTGTTCTTGACACAGCAATTATAGGACTTGAACAGCAGAACTTTGTAACTGAACAAGAAATTATGTCTGTTTAATAGAATTAAAGAGAAAGTATTATCACATGAAACGAAGCAAAACTTAAACAACTTACATTGAAAGAAATGTTTATTTAAGTAAACAAATAAATATTAAGCTTTTTCTTTTTGCAAATTTTGATACCCTTTAGATCATAACTGCTCTTTATTTCATAAATTACGGTTTCATATTTTTAATTTTAGAATTTCTGCATGCCATCTTACGAGATTTAAACTGATGATCTATAATCTGGAATCGCCGAAGTCCCGACGAGTCCGGATTAACGACTTTTGACTGTACTAGGAAAGGGTACCGTCAAATTTGCAGTGAAAGTAGGCAATCGAATAAATTGGATTGAGTTAGATAATGTGTTATATAATCCAAATCTAAGAAGAAATTTATTATCGGGAGCAAGGTATTATCAGGAGCAAGGTTAGGCAGGTGCTCATTTTGTGATTTCAAAAGGGAAGATATGGATATACTTTAATAATTGGGATAGATTATGCTACGCTAAACGATATGACGGACTTTATCATGTAAAACCATTTAGATATGCAAGAGATAAAAAGGAGGTTGGTTGCGGTACAGAAATTGGAAGGTTAAATAAAGCAGACGATGAATTGCTATGGCATCGGAGATTTAGCCACGTAAATTTTGATTATATTAAGAAAACTAGTAAGAATCAAAGTGTGAAAGGGTTATCAGAAATACGAAAACCAATGGAGAGGTGTGAACCGTGTATTATTGCTAAATCTAGTAGAATAACTTTTAAAAATGTTTCAAAGAGATTGGATAAACAAACCATTGCAGTTGGTTTATTTAGACGTTTGTGGCCCACTACCAGTTCTATCTAAGGGTGGGAGTAAATATTGTCTTGCTATTGTGGATGACTATAGTAGATTAGTAACAGTGTATTGTATGAAAAATAAAAATGAATCGTTCTACAACTTTAAGAATTATCATAGGCAAATGGAAAGACTGACGAATAGAAAGTTAATAAGTATACGCGCTGATAATGGTGGGGAATTCTGTAACAGGCAATTCGAAGGGTACTTAGCTGAAAATGGAATTAGTGTTGAATGCACAAACACGTACACCCCAGAAGAGAACGGTGTGTGTGAACGTTTTAACCAAACGGCATTAGACGCAGTTAAAGCTATGCTTAATGATGGTAAAATGGGAAAAGAATGGTGGGCAGAAGCTCTTGGCTGTTTCGTACATACGTGGAACAGAGTATGTCATAAAAGTAACAGAACCCCTTATGAAATATTTCTAAATAGAAAACCCAGTGTTGTTTATTTTAAAATATTTGGTTGTAAAGCCTATGTTGGCGTGCCAAAACAGATTAGAAATAAATTACAAATGAGGTGCAAAGAAGGAATCATGGTAGGATATGCGAAGGAAACTAAGGGGTTATAGGAATATGGCTGCCAGAAGAACGCAGATTAATAGAAACCTGTAATGTGAAGTTCGAAAATGAAAAACAATGTATGCAGCAAATGGCATCCTGGAACAGAAATCAAAAACCTAAATTTAAAAGATTAGAGCGATTTGAGCTATTAACAGAATCAGATGAAGAACATGAAACTTCTAGAGAAGAAATAAAGTTGTCAGATGACAAATCTACTCCGAAAGAAGTATCAGACTTAAACTGGCAAAGAAAAGCAGTTAAAAGACCAGACGGAACACGTACAGACATATATTATTATGTAGAGGGAACAGACACCCGTTTTAGATCCTATAATGATATTGAAAAGTATTGTGAGGCAAGAAATATTAAATTTGAAAAAGGTAAGTTTGATTTTAGTAGAAAAAACTAATACTCGGGGAAAGTTAATTTTGTAGAACAGGAGACTAGCTCCGTGTCTGAAGAGGCAAATTCCGTAGAAATAGTTATCCCACAAAATTTTAAAGAAGCACGAAAATCAGTAAATGCCGAAGAATGGGATAAGGCAATGAAAGAAGAAATTGACACAATGAAGAAAAAAAAAAGGTTTGGGAATTAGTCGAAAAGCCAGAAAATAAAACTACGATAGGAAACAAATGGGTCTTTACACTAAAAAGAAATGAAAAGAATCAAGTGGTTAGGTACAAAGCACGTTTAGTAGCACAGGGATTCAGGCAGAAAAGAGGTGAAGATTTTGATGACATTTACAGTCCTGTAGTAAATTTTTCAATCATAAGAATATTTTTCACTATCCTGGTATGTTTGTATGGATGGACTAATTGTCAGTTAGATGTAAAGAACGCATATTTATATGCAAACCTAAATGAAAAAATATATATGACCCAAACAGAGGGATTTATCGAAGAGGAAAATAAAGTGTGTTTAATACACAAGGCCATTTATGGTCTACATCAAAGCGGTGTGAATCTGAAAGTTCTTTAGAAAATTTACATTTTAAGAAAATACAATGGTGTAATTGTGTTTATAAGAGTTCAAATGTAATTCTCTTGTTATATGTAGATGATATTGTGATTTTTAGTAAAGATCAATATAGTATAGATAAAGTAATTTCACAGTTGAGTAAGTTTTTTGATCTTAAAGTATTAGTCAAAACTAAAACGTTACTTGGAATTGAATTCTTAGAGAATGAGAATGGGGTTTTTATACATCAGCAAAAATATATCGAAGAAATTTTTGAAAAATTTAAACATTTCCAGATACCAATAACTTCACTTCCCACAGCTAAAGGCCCTATTCTTACAAAATTAGATTGTCCATCTACAAGTTCAGAAACTGCGGAAATGCATACATTACCCTTTAGAAATCTGTTAGGATGCTTAGTTTTTGTAGCTCACAGGACAAGACCTGATATTACATATGCAGTGAATATCTTATCACAATTTCAAGAGAATTCTGGAATTAGGCATTGGGAAGCATTGTTGAAATTGCTTGGTTATCTCAATAGTACTAAATTATATAAGTTAAACTTATCGAAGATTAAACATCTAAATTTATATTGTTATTCAGATGCTGATTATGCAAGTAATAGAGATGACCGCGTGTCCACGGGAGGATTTATATTATATTTAGATGAAGTACCGGTAATCTGGAAAACTGTTAAACAAAAATGTGTAAGTTTATCAGCCACGGAAGCAGAGTATATCGCCTTATCTGAAGCAGCGAAGGAGTTAATGTGGATTAAAAATGTCTTACAAGATGAAATTTTAAAGTTTAATTTAAGAGAATGTAAACAATTTTGTGATAACAAGTCTGCCATTGATTTTTCTAGATCGCCAATAGAAAATTGCCGAACTAAGCATATAGACATAAAATATCACTTTGTTAGAAGACTAGTAAATGATGGAGTGTTTGACCATGAATTTATCACCAGTAAATTAAATACTGTGGACTTATTTACAAAAGCAGCGACTGCTGTTAATTTAAGAAAGTTAGAAGTTTTGTTTAGATGTTTTCAGTGTTTAAAGACAATAAGTGTTTTCGTATAATAGAATTGAACTATGAACTTCTGTGTAAGTTTCCGTGTTTTTGTCTTTGCATGAGGAAAAGAGGGCCGTTTGTTGGCTTTTAGTTTCCACATGCAAATTTTGATCGGAGGTCAATCGGCGGTAAGCTAATGTGGTTGCCGCTGATTGGCCGATGACGTCAAGATCGGCGGGTTGGCCGAGTATTATATATATGTACGCCGGTATCGGTGAATGTCTTGTTCTTTTGTGTTATTATGAGTTAGCATAATGCTAGTTTGCTTTCAATCAAACAATTTTAAATGTAAAGGCTACAGTGTTAGCTCTTTTAATTTACGGAATAAAGCATGAATTTTATTTAGATTAGTCTTAGCTTTATTTAAGGGAAGCAAAATAAGCTTTGCCTTTATCATCACCACTGCCAACAGCATTATGCGTTTACGCATGTGCAGAAAGTTTGTAACTTTGAGGTACGGATTATAGATCATTCCGGATTATGGACGTCTGGATTAAAGACTTTTGACTGTAGTACCGAAAATTTGATAATCATATAACAGTTTGAGAAATTTGATTATAAGGCACAGAAATAATGAAATTTAAACTCCCAAGGAATATTTTATCAAATTTTATATAGCTTTGATTGAGCTGCTAACCTTTATGTTGAAATCTTGAAAATCAAGGAATAAATAAATTAAAAAAATCTTATTTCACTAATGTATCAGGTACACTAATATGATCTTTTGATCATGCCTAATTTTCAGAAATTCAATAACTACCATTAATTATTTTTTCTTTCTAGTTAACAGTTAATTTTTTCAATGAAACAATACTCATTCAAAACAGAACAATATTTAAAAATCTAAGGCAGGGCTTTCACTAAACACGCTTGAAAACCATAGTATATGATATAATAAGAAAGAATGGTAATTCCCTGAAGAGGAAGCCTTTCTATTGTATAAATTTGAAAAATAGAAAAAAATACTATTGTAAAAATCAATGATTATTTCTGTTAAATTCACTACAGTGACAATGAGATTAAAACATTGATTTTTACAAACATCAAAGATTCTCCCAAATTTTTTATTAAAACTTAAATTAGAGCTCTTATTAGTTTATTAGAAGCAACTAAATGATGTGGAATTGCAGTACTTACTTCTTCAGAAGCCTACTTACTCAACTAATAAATTAATAAATACACAGGGAAAATCTCTCAAGCAATACTTACTCTGTTTAATGAGCCAAATAGCCCCTTCAGCATGCTTTGCAATGGATAACAAAGAGGAAAGTACTGCATCTTGTACTGATGGAGAATATGTCTCATACATAGTACTGTCACAAACACTTGGAAGTTTCTGCAGAAGTAATGAAGCTTTGTTTGAGACAAATATGATTTCTTCCTCAAATAGCAATCCTAAAAGTCTAACAGCAAAAACTTTCACTGGAATACAAAGATTTTCTTTTTTCTCTGTCAGTGAAAAAACAGCTCTTTCAATAAGATCTAAAGCCTTTGTCTTTGTCAAAAGATCCTGAAGGAAATCTGGAAAAATGCAAAAGAAATAAGTGCAAATAATGCAAATAGCAAAATTAAAGGGAAAAATTCACAATTAAAGAAGTACACAGCTGCAGATACATAATTTCATAAAATGATATATGCAAGCAAGAAAGGCTATTAATTTTTTATGGAACCAGTACTTTTAAAGAATTCAAAAGTCCTTTTTAAGAAAAATGTAAAAGAAGAAATAAAAGGTGTTTATTTTATTTTATTTTATTTATTTATTTTAAATGTTATAGAGAACATCTGTTGGCATACATGCTTCACTGATGTTTTCAGTCAATAAATTTCCATGACTTCATACTGATGTCGAATCTTCTTTAAATTCATTTTCTCCGGAATGAAGTTGAACAAATATAAAAAGTAAATTTAATCTATTTTTAAATGAAGCATGTAATGGCAATACAAATAATATATCAGCATTTTACTATGCAGAGATTGAAAAATTGTGTTGGTGTTCTTTTCTACTGGAAAAGACTTAAAAAATTTCCTACGCTCTCCAAGGCATTACAAAATTTATCTTCTACAAATGAAAACCTGTATATAAATTTTCTTTTATGTTAGGTATTTTTCATTCTTAGAATGGGAGTAAGTCTCCAACATGAAGATGCTTGCAGTATATTATATTGTTTGAGGTCAAACCTGGTTCCAGCATCTTCAGTGTTATAAGCCGTCAGTACAGTTAGTGTTTTATCTAAATAAAATCTACATTTATTTCATTATTACTTGTGAAAATGACTTATTTAAATTATAGGGCCTATATTTGAAGCTACCCCTGTTCAAAGAGCTTTGTGTTCTTAAAATGTGAGTAAACAGCCTATAAGGTATTTCTCCCGGCTTCTTAGCAAGCCTTTGAAGTGTAGTGGTCAGCACACTCGACGTGCATTCGAGAGGTTCAGGGCTTGAATCGCGTGAGGGCATTGCTTATTTCACATCTCTTGCTTAGGAACAAAATAATGACTCTACAGTGGTGCCCAAACTAAAAAAAGGTGGTGGATGACGATTCTCTACTCCCAGTCATCCTTTAAAAGGGGGAGTATATAAGGTCTTTCTCCTGCCTACTTAGCATTGTAGTGTAGTGGTCACCATGTATTCAAGAGGTCCTTGGTTTGATTCCCGGCAACGGCATTGCTCATTTTTCATCTCTCCTGCTTTGAAATAACCTAATGTCTCTATAAGCCAACATGAAAAATCTTGCTATACTACTCCTTAAATTTCTGTAGGTTAACATAATTTCCTTGCCAACATGTAAAGATATAAGCATTTTACTGAAATTTACCTAATTAATACTATGGTAAAGCAGAGGCAGGTAAAATGCTGAGAGGTTGACTATAATTCTAGGTAAAGCTTTGCAACCATTTTGCCAATACACATTAAATATACAGATTTGAAAGATTCCTAGTAAGGATCATATGAAAAATGAAGGAGGAAGCAAGTTCTTTAAACAATAATTATGCAATATGCTTTTAATTTAAATTACATTACTTTTCCATTAAATTCATACTATACTTTTTTACCATCATATGGTACACTTCCTTCCTCACATTTTTGATTCAATACTAGATGAAATACAGTCAAAAGTCTTTAATCCGGAATCGTTGGGATTTCGGAGATTCCAGATTACAGATCACCAATTTAAATCTGGTAAGATGGCATCCAGAAATTATAAAATTAAAAACGTGAAACCGTAATTTATGAAATAAAGACCAATTATGATCTAAAGGGTATCAAAAATTACAAAAAAAAATTTAATATTTATTTGTTCACTTTATTAAACATTTTTTTCAACGCGCGCATGCGTAAAGCATACATTACGCATGCGAAATTAGAAAAGTCGAAATAGAAAATTGAAATTAGTCGAAATTAGAAAATTGCAACCAGAAAACTATTTGATGTGTATTCATGATATTTATAACGACGAGGAATTTGATTTACATCATATCAAAGACAGAGTACATTGAGATGAAATACTACATTTAGTAAGGAATTATAAGCCAAATAAAATAAAAGCATCTGCCCTGAAGATGAGGATAGTGCTGACAGATGAACTTCCAGTTCATTGCGCGCCGCCCCCCCCCCCCGCAGAGCAGCATGAAATTGATAAACATATTTCAGAATGGTCAGAGAAACAAAGGATATGCCTTTATCCATTTTTTGCAGCAATTCTACTTTCTGTTTGATGGACATCGAAAAATGCTTCCATTTTGTAGATCCTTTGGTAGATCCAGAATCAGAAATTTTTTTTGACATAATCGAAAGTTCAAACTTACTTTTATAAAATTGCTCTAATAGTCTGCAAAAAATAATAAGCCATATCCAATTAGAAGATTAAGGAACAACGCAATCTGCAACATTAACTGAAATAGATAATTAGATAATTTTAGCTTAGCTTATACCGTTCGTTATACATTAAACTTGCATGCGCAAACGTATTATGCACATGCGTAGATGCATATGCGCATACATAAAGGTATTATGCACATGCGTTAACACATTATGCGTTGACGCATGCACATAAAGTTTGTAGCTTTGAGGTCCAGATTATAGATCATTACGGATTATGGACTTTTGACTGTACAACACGAACAAGGAACACTATATATATATATAATTGAAAAAGAAAAAGTAAAGATAACTGGTAATTAGACGTAAGACCTATCTGGTCTCAAAAACTTATGCGCATAATGCTGCAAAAAGATTTGAAAGAATAGTAGTAGGTAGTAACATTGCAGCGAACTTGCTAAAAAGTTACCAGGAGCTGTAGCTCCACGAAATATTATAACACAGTACTACATAAATAATAAGAAATTTGTCTGTAAAAACTGGAAAAAACTGTAAACACGCGATAAAACAGCCAAATTTAGTGCTGGAAGACTTGCTAATGCACGGAAAAAATTAATTAATCTGACCATTGTGAAATGTGAAAAGTTAACTCACATGAAAAATAGATCGACGGAAAAAAATATATAAGGAAAGTATAAAAAACATAGATTATAAAATGCCAATATATAAAATGCCTATACATAAAAAATTAAAAAATAAAATGAAGACACAAAATGCATCAAAACAATATACAATAAACAATAATTAAATAGCGGAAAAATGGTAAATTAACCTACTCGTACTCTCAGTTGGCTTTTCAAGGGAAAAAAACTGTTCTACGAACTAGGTTAAATACCATTACGCGTTTCGCCGAAACAGACCATTGAAGCTCTTGTTTAATGTGAAAAAATTTTTTATAAAAGAATATTAGTATTTCCGAAAAAATTTTTTGGAATAAATCCTTTTTTGGAGCTCCACTGCTCTGTTCCTTTTTCCTGACGCGTCCGCTGAAATACACATTAAGGTGTCAAAAGCTATTGTAATTCCGAGTAATGTAAAATCAAAATCAAAATCAAAGTAGAAAAATAAAATAAAATAAATAGCGGTCTGCTATTAGTCAAAAATCACAACAACGTACGGGCTGGTCCTACACACTTTTACACAACTATATTAAACTTAATGACAATATTTTTAAACAAATCAATGGGATCCCTACGAAAACCTATTTCTCTTCACAAGTCTGCAATTAATATTTACTAACAAAATTATCAATTTCAGCAGTCTTTGGACAAAACTAATTTTAAACTGATATTTGCCAATACCCACAAATAGATATATGATATTATAACTTTCAATAATTTTGGATCTTCTGGAAAATTTCAAATATATCTATTGGTATTTTACGTTCTTAGGTTGCGTGTATCTTTCTCACTGTCAAGTCAGCACTCAACTAATCTAGGTTTAATTATTATTTTATTACAGGTCCATCTTATTTTGGTAAATACATAATAAGATAAAACACACCAGCATCAATCCTCAAGTTCCATGTGCTACTATTTCATCAACAAGAACAGGAGGCATTACTTCACACAGCTTGTTCATAGATCAAGTTTATGGATCTACTCTTATATGCGCCCTCAGGTCGCCAAATTTCTTGCCAATGCCACCATATTACTACCTAAATTTTTTGTCTAAATTTCGAATTTTAAGCCTGAAATGTCTCTAAAAAATGTGGTTTTTACACATGCAAAAACCACGTTTTGAAGACACAATTTAAGCTAAAATTCCGAAACAAAAACAAAAAATTTAGATAGTAAAAGCGTAAAGTTTTTAACCAAAAATATTTGACAAGAATCCACATACACAGCGGTATGTTTTATATTGCACATTCTAGGCAGCGAAGGAATCTACGAACACCTTGCTTCAATAAATTAACATAACAACAATAAATTTCAAAGACTACCATGTACACAGCATTCTGTTTAAATTAAAAAAATCATCTGCGAATTGCCCAATCTAGGCATTGCGCACAAATCAACCAAATAAACTAAACTAAATTACAAACAATTCAAAAAACAATAACAACAAAATGTCATAGTAAAAAAACAATGAACATAACATTCTACAAAATAAAATCAGTAAATAAAATGCACTTACCATAATACATTCCTGAATAAAATTTCGCCAGTCACACAACATCTCTGAACAAAAGAGCCATGATTTTGCTATATCACATGTCTTTATGAGATTCTAAATCTCGAAAGTAACGACAAAAACTTCCTCCAAAGTTAACTTACTACACCAAAACCACAATCCAAATCTTAAACTTCGCTGACAGCCATATACTTTACCAGCAATCATTTGAATGAAATTCCACACAAAAACTATCAGAAATGCCCTTCTTTGTTCGAGCTTTTGGACTCCATTTTAAAAGTCCCGCAGAAATTCTAAAAATACACTTCAATCCTCATAAACACACCCGTGAACAAAAGACTCATTAACAACTAAAACATTGTACCTTTTAATACTAAATTTACTTTCCACACAATCTAAAATACGCGACTGAAATCTTGCTACCACATCTACCATTGCAACATGTCCCATTTCAAAACATTCATGACATAAACCAACAAGCAATTAAACCACTCCAGCAAAAGATTTTT